GATGAATGAGTGAATGGATGAATGAAGCCATGGCACCTATTTACAGAGAGAGTAGTTGGAGTAAAAAGGAGTCACTCTTAGAGCACCTGGGTGGCTCAGTCGGTTAAGAGTCCAACTTCAGGTCAGGTCATGATCTTGCAGTTTGTGAGTTCAAGCCCCAGGTCAGGCTCTGTGCCGATAGCCCAGAGCCTGGAGCCTGCATCCAATTCTGTGTCTCCGTGTCTACCCACTCCCTGCTCACACTCTATCTCACTCTCTCTAAAAAATAATGAATATTTTAAAAAGCTAAAAAAAAAAAAGAGGAGTTAGTCTTGCTGAAGCTGAGAACCCAAACTTAGACACAAGCCTCTGGGAAGGAGGGCTGTTTTTCCTTCATGTTCAATGAAAGAAAGTTGCTGTAATTTTCAAGGCAAACTTCAGCTGTGCCTTGTGCAGTTAGTCATTCTCTGGTTGAGATTTTGGCATTTTTGCCACTGATGCAACATGCTGAGATGATTTCCACAGCACATTTTGTTGAGCAGTAAGGGCTGCCGAGTTGAGACTGGGCAGGGCCTCCTGGAGCTAGAGAGGAAGCCAAATTAATGCAAGAAGAGGCAAACCTGTGCAGGGTGGTGTCCACATGGTTGCCCAACCACCTGGAATGCGGCCCCAGATAGGAACCTTTGGATCTGCAAGAGGCATTTCTCTGAGGACAGTTTGTGACATTTGGCAGGTCAGCATCAAAAGCTGACAGGCCCTCAGAATAGAGAATGTGTAGAAAATGTCAGCGCCGCCATTGAGTGGCATGGCTCCACAGGCACCCAGAATGCTGACTGACAGGTATCTCCACCCTGCCAGACTCTGGCTGGGGGCTGGAGATGGTTTGGCTGGCGAGAACAGGGGTCGCACACAGCCAGCCACAGCTCTGGCCCCTGGCAGGCTGATTGGCCCAATTTCCAGCCTCTGTGGTGATATCTCCCTGCTGGACTCCAGGCCCCCCTGTGGGGGCACTGCTGCCCCTGGGAAGGGGGTTAGAAGCACCACTCCATCTGTCCTGGATGGGGAAAAACTGCAGCTTCATTGATCTGCAGCCCCGAGCTTCACCAGTGAGAACAATGTTGAGCCTGTCACGGGTGCCTTGCAGAGAATCTTTCCTCTGGGGAGACACGATGCCCATGCTGGATGCACATGTACTGTGAAGTTCATGGAGCTTAAGTCTCGAGATGCTCACTTGAAAAAGCTCCTCCCACGACCCTAGACCTAATTTTGCATTTGCTATTTTGCATGCATTGTCTTAAAAAGGGCTCCCAGATCATATAAGGTCCAGGTCTCATAAAACCAAACCTATCCTTGCCTATGCTACTTGACTCTGGAAAATATTGAGTAAACAGTGAGTGTCTGAGGGGTCAGGGCTCAAGAACTCACAGGCCTCCTTCCCAAATTTCTATCCAGGACCTCCAGCCTGGCAGCCCGGTAAGATGGTGGAGGGCTCTAGCACAGAGCAGACAGCGTCCTCTCTGCGGCCCAGAGGGGTGAACTGGAGCAGCTGAGCTGAGCCAGGTGGGAGCAGATTGTCAGCTCTAGAAAGGTCAAAGTGTCATCCTGAGAAACAGGAGATGACAAGTGTGAGTGTGCCAGATCAAATAGCACTTCTAATTCTGTCCATATGGCCCGTGGTGGGGCATTTGCTGATGACCCATGTTTGACTGCTGGCTTAAAATGAATGCTGTGACATAAAATACCACAGAATTGTACACTTTAAAAGGGTGGATTTTAGGGGCGCCTGGGTGGCTCAGTCAGTTGAATGTCTGACTCTTTAAAAATTTTTTTTAATGTTTATTTACTTGGGGTGCCTGGGTGGCTCAGTCAGTTAAGCATCTGACTTCATTCAGCTCAGGTCACGATCTCAGGGTTTGTGAGTTCAATACCTGCATCAGACAAGCACATTGAGCCCTGCTTTGGGCTCTTTGTTTGGGATTCTCTCTTTCTTTCCCTCTGTCTCTGCTCCTTGCTCACTTGCACCCTCTCTCTGTCTCTCAAAAAAAACGTTTATTTATTTTTTAGGGAGAGAGAGAGAGAGAGAGAGAGAGAAGAGAATCCCAAGCAGGCTCCACGCTGTCAGTGCAGAGCCTGACTTGGTGCTCAAACCTACGAACTGTGAGAGCATGACCTGAGTCAAAATCAAGAGTTGGACACTTAACTGACTAAGCCACCCAGGTGCCCCCAGAGTCTGACTCTTGACTTCAACTCAGGTCATGATCTTAACAGTTCATGGGACTGACCCCTGTGTTGGTTCTGTGCTGACAGCTTGGAGTCTTCTTAGGATTTTCTCTCCCTCTCCCTCTGCCCCTCCCCCAATCAAGGACATGTGTGCTACCTCAAAATACACTTAAACAAATAAAAGGGTGGATTTTATGATATGTGAATTGTATCCCAAAATAAGATAGATAGATAGATGATAGATAGATAGATAGATAGATAGATAGATAGATAGATAGATAGATAAGGATCCGGAGAGCCTGTTTACCCCTTGTTGCTGTGGTGCTTTTCTCAGACATTGGATCCAAGCATGGTGGGTGCATCAAGGTACTACTTGGTGCCAGGGTTTGGGGCTGTCTCCTGAGATGTCAGTCACACACAGCAAGGGCTGTTCAGGGACTGTGGCTATGTCTTGACTGCATCCTTGCTGAGTACAAAACAAAATGGTGGCAGTGCAAACAAGTTTCCTGTCCAGCTGGAGTCCTTGGGGGTAGTGGAGTGGCTTCCGCCATTTCTGGGTGACTGGGCCCCAATTTACAGCACCTATCTTGGCACATTTTTCCAAGCCCTCTGAGCCTGATACATGCCCGGGCCAGGGGAAGAGTTAATGATTAACCAGGAGGTAAGAGATGGCTGAGACAGGTGGCCTTCTAGCCCTCAAGAGCAGGCAGTGTGGGGCCCCGCTGAGCCACACCCTCAGCCCTGTTAGTGGAGGCATTGACAGGACAGGCAGAGCACAGGAACTTCTTCTGTCCCTCAAATTGGAACTTGGTTTCCAAAGAGCCCAGGAAAGCTCAGTCCCTGTGGGACTGAAGCCCCCTCATCGCAGGTGTCTAGGCACATGGGCAAATACTCCTATTCCCAGGGGCCTGCCCAATCCCAGCATAGCCTGCAGCTCTACCAGTTCCAGAACTTTGTTAGGCTGAATTTCAAAGTGCACTGAGAAGCTTACTCAACCTTTTTCCTGAGAGGAAATGGCTCCCTAGACCCACTGGTGACCCTGTGGCTAGAGGGCCCCAATTGCCCTGCAAATGTACCAGCCAGAAGATATTGGTGCCCTTCACATCTTCTTCTGTAACACATGCACAGGCACACATGTGCACAAGCACATACACAAATACACATGCATGCACATGTGCTAGGCATCAGGGATGGTTTCTTCATCCCCCCCGGTTTATGCCAAGAAAATATTAAAATGACTGTTACCAGACTACCTCCCTCAAAAAGCACAGATACTTTGAGAGTCCCTGGCCAAAGTTGCTGGGGATGGCATGGCACTCTTGTCGGGTTATCGTCCCCAGGTCTGAGCTGCCCGCCCAGAGCTATTTTGGGGGCAGGTGGAGGTGTACAGTAATGTCTTCATCAAGGGTATTCTTTGGAATGCTCTTATCAAAGCCACCACCATTTTGTTTGGACACCACATCTTAGCAAATGTAGCTGTGCGTTGATGTGGTTGAGGGAAGAGTTGTGGAAGTAGGAGCTCTGGGGTCTGCATCCTCAGAGAGCAACCTATCCACACAGCAAACATAAGCCAGGGCCTGGTAGGAGGAAGACAGGCATCCATGCTGCCAGGTGATGGGAGGCAGGCTGGAGAGGGCTGAGGTGGAGGTGTGGCCACAGGGTGGGGACTGTTGCGTGGGCATTGTGTTGGGTGGGATATCCTGCATGGAGTGCTCCCCCTCTGCTGGGGCCCATCAGAGCTGGGGATGCAAGTTGCTGGAAAAAGACCTTGGATATTCCCAGTCCTTCCACTTGTTTGACTCCCTTTCTTATAGGCAGGCAGGCTGGCTCAGGAAGACATTTTCTCTAATATACTACTGGGTTACTCATCAACACGGCTACAGAGTCCCTACACCTGCCCTGAAAATACTTCACCCACAGCTGTGGTAGCTAACTGTTTCCTTCAAGTGCCCACAGGCTGTATGGCTGCCTGCTGCCTCGTGGTCAGCCCCACTGCTCGCCCACATCCTGACTGGGGCCTGATGTGCTGACTGGCCCATGGAGACAGACACTTTGTTTCTGATACATCTGGGACTGGAGATGGTTTTCTGTTTTATGGATTGGAGTAATAAGGCTTCTTGGGTACAGGGAAAGAGTGGTGATACCACCACAGCAGGGGAGGGAGTCAGGGCCCTAGAATGTGCCACACACACAAATACCCTCTGATTGTGCCCAGGCGGAGGGCAAGCATGGTGACTGGTCTCTTGGACTTCTTGTGCTGGATGGAGCTGGCGGAAGGATAAAGCCACCTTTGGACACCTAATCCTAATGTGGAGTAACTATAGCATGTGGCTCAACAAAACAAGCTAGGACAAAGCTACCCATGGGGAGGATGCCCACCTACCAGACTCTCCTAGCCTGAAACTTTCTCTGTACAAGTGGAAAGGAAACCAACCATGTCTTTATTCCAACTTTCTCCTTAAAGCAGCCTCACAGAATTCCCAGGACTTCTCATGGATCCTTGAACAGATACTATGGATCATCCTAGCTTTGCAAAGGATGCACCTGCCTTGGCCACCTGGTATCTCAGTCTGAAAATGCAAACTACCCTTCATTCCTATGTTCGAGAAACAGCAGCAAGCCTGAGCTGCCATTTGTGTATATGGTCAAATATTTAAGAACCAAGACACTGAAGAATATGGGGAGGAGGGTGTGGGGGTTCCGTTCATTGCCAAGAGTGCATGGTGGCCCACTAAATCTTCACCCCTTTCCTTTCCCTCTTCCCATCCCACTGTAGCCTCTCACCTGGGCACAGACACCACTTTTAATTATTATTATTTTTTTATTAAAATACTGTTATACCCAGTGGAATGCAGCAGCAATCCCAGTACAGGGTGGCATAACAAAACAGCCATGTTTACATTTTAAATATTTACGATAACTTAAACATACAGACACACATCATGGTCTTTGGCAGAAAATGTTCACAGCACAAAAAATACTTTAAAAGAAATACCAAATATTAATCCAAAATATATTAAGTTGTTTTTTTTTCTTTCACAATATTTTTTTGCCTTTTTTTTTTCTTTTTTCCTTTTTGCTTTGTAAACAATGCACATGAACCAAATGTAATTTTCAGCTTTAAAGGGTAGGGGGATGTAAAAAAATATGCAATTGTCCAGCAAATGCAAATGTTTAAAAAGGAAACTTGAGGAATCACGGGAATAAAAGAACACATACCGAACCTAAAAACAGTAAAGGAAAAAAACAAAGATTCAAGGAAACTAAAAACAGTCAAGACAAACTACTAAAACCCACTGAGGGGTCCTGGGGCTGAGCTGGGGGATTCTGTAAGACCAGAGGTCAAAGTCACTGCTGCCAGCAGGCTGTCATGTGGATGCTTCACTCTAATTCCAAAGCACTAGCCCTACTTTTCAGGGCGCTGCTCGCTGGTAGCTTGAGGAGCCAGCCTCACGGGTGCCATTTTGTGATGGGGGCTCCATTCAGAAGACCATCTGAGTCACATCTTGTAGCACACAGACTCGTTTGCACCAGCATACTCCCACTTCCACTCCCTCCAGGAGGGAACAAAGACTGATGAGAACAAGGCAGCTTCTCCAGTTCCCTTCAAGAGAATTGGAGCTGGAAAGCCCCCCATGGCAGATGTCTGTGTGTGTGTGTGGTGGCTCATCTCATCTGGCTCAGGGCTCATAACCAAACTGATAAGATGTCCTAGGGACAGGAGCGGTGGAGCCGTTTCAGGAGGCTGGTGATAGGATTCCATGGGCATTTAAAACAGGGCTCAAGGTGGAAAAAAGACAGCCAATGTCATGTGGATCAACCAGTATCAAAATCCGTGGGCCAAGAACTTGAGAAGGGGAGAGAGCTGGGAGGCCGGTTGACAGTTACAAGAACCATGGCAGCAGGGACAGGGGAACAGAGAGGGGACAAATCTGAAGTGGCACGCTTCAGTCTTCTGTTCCACAAGAAAGGGGATTATATACATACTGCACAGCTTATCCCAGTCCACTTAAATGGCCCCTACCCACTCCAACTGAGGGGGCAAGGCTGTGGCTTCTGCAGGACTAACACCCTCAACAGTCCCCAAAAGATGCGAAGTCTCGGTGATCTCAAGGAGGCAGCGAGGAGCTGATGAGCCGAGGAGGTTGGCAGGGGCCACACCTAGCTGCAGGGGGACAGCACAGCTGACTTCTTACTGGTGTCCAGGGCAACCATCCTTGGAAATCAGCCCTTCAGACCAAGAGATGTCTTCCCTCCTGCCTCAGTGCCAAGGTCCAAAGAGGGCTCAGCTCCCTTCTGGGCTTCCAGTTGCTACCCCAACAGTAAGCCTGGGAATCCTCATTCTGCGTGGGCCCAGGAGGGAAGTGGGGCTGAGAGAAGCAGGGTCTTCTGGGTGCAGGTGCTCCCCTCACCCCTGCAGCTTCCTTCCTAAGCCCCCGGCACCAGATAGTCAATGGGAATGAGTGCCTGGTTGGGGAAAGTGGGGCAGCAGCAGTTGGAGGGGCTGCTGGAATGGCCGAGAGGGCAGGAGACAGGGATTGGTTTGGAGTCCCCAAGCACGACCTCCTTCAGATCAGTATCTCCACCATGTCTGACAAGTCCTGGACTCTGGAGGTAGCAACAGAGTCTGAAGAGAGATAAGAGCACAGGCAAATGCCAGCAAACGTTACAAGATTGTTCTTTTAAATCCTGAACCATTTTTACATTATTTACTTACTTACTTATTTATTTATTTTAATAATTTAATTTATTTTATTTTATTTTGAGAGAGAGAGGGAGAGTGAGCAAGCCAAGGAGGGACAAAGAGAGAGGGAGACAGAGAATCACAAGCAGGCTCCACCTGTTAGCACAGAGCCCAGTACGGGGCTCAAACTCACAAACTGTGAGATCATGACCTGAGCCAAAACCAAGAGTCAGATGCTTAACCAACTGAGCCACCCAGGTGCCCCTAAATCCTGACCCATTTTTTAGATAGGATCTTTCTTCACCAACTCCCCCTGCCCCTCCCCAACGCCAACTGCCCAGGTGACTTGGCCAAACAAGCACAAGGCTCTGCCCCCTTTCCACTCCCCGCTCAGCTCTCCATCCAAACCATCAGTGTCCAATGTGGAAGAATACATTTGTTTCTAACTTTAAACTGCCTGGAGGCTCAGAGGGAGAGGGGCCCAGGGAAGGAGGCTGCAGCATTCTTTCTGTGCCTGTGGTTTTCTGAGATGGCAAGGCAAAGGCAAGCATGCAGGGGCTAATGTGAAAGGGAAGCAAAAAATTGAAAAGGCATCCTCTCAAATGTCTCTCTCTTGGACTCTTTTTAAACAAACTCTTCTACCCTGAGATTGCTGTCAGGTAACTAGCCAAGCTCCATGACCTTAGATATTTAGATTGGTAATGAAATATGTAAGAAAGACTACAAAAGAGGAGACAAAGTGCCCCCCATACAGGCACTTTCTTTCTGAACTCAGGATCTGTCTGTGATCAGGGTTTTTTTGGTTCCTCTATTCACTCATCCAACCAGCCCTCACATTCACCCTGCTGGCCTATGTCTGTGCACTGCTCCCCCTGGAAAGCAGGCCATGAGCCGGAGGGATCTGGGAAATAAGGGCCTGGTGCTCCGGTTCACACCCCAGCATGCCCTCAGCCCTGCCTGGCACAGAAGCCCCAGAAAGAGGGACTTACCCAGTGAGGCTGTCCTCTGGCCACCGCTGTACCCCAGGAGGCTGTCGGGCTCCAGTCCCAAGCAAGCGGCAGTGCTGTCGGGGGGCGCATCGGTCTGGGTGCTCCCATCTCTGCTCCCGTGTTTGGCATGGGCAGGGAGGGGAGCTGCGGCCACTGGCTCCTCCTCAGGGACCCTGTCTGCTGGAGAGGAAGGAGGCTGACAGTTACTGCCTCGCCCACGAGTTGTAGCCCCACGAAGAACACCTCAAGTTAACTGTACCAACTGGTGGCACGAGGTGGTATGGGTTGCTCTTGATTTGCAAGAACTTAGATTAAGGTTAAATGCTACCATTTCCAAATGGGGATAACTATCAGGTTGGATTGGCTTCCAAATGTTTTAAGTGGCAGACCCCTTCTTTGCAGATGTAATCTTAGAACCAGCAGGGACTCCTGAATTTCTGTGGCACCCACTCAGACGGAGTGGAAGAGCTTGCCTGGAAGGTACATCTACACAGGAAGCTCTATTTTTGCTTAGACGGCAAGTGGCCAGGATCCAGGGTGGTGGAATTTATGGGGAGGGGGACTACAGCATGCCTCCTCACACCAGCAGGATCGCTGAGGCTATATGGTCCCTGGAGCCAGATGGTAAGCTGGCTCCCCTGGCCAAGGGGTCAGGAAACCCCGGTTCCTCTGAGCCTCAGTTCTGGGAGCAAAGGCCCCAAAACAACCTACTCCTCTACCTGTGCTTCCCTCCTGCTTCATCTCACCTGCAGCCAGCCGGGCAGGGGCATCCACCTGCCGCTCACTAGAAGAGGGACCTTGCCAGCCCTGGTTCCCTGCCGCTGCAGCCACGAAGACAGATGGCACGGACTTGGCGGGCCTCAGGGAGCCCTGGGTGGCCTTTCCAGGGTCTTTCCTGGAGCGCTGCTGAAGGACCTTGATCACTGCATCCTTCTCCAGGATCTGGGCATGGAGCACCTTCAGCCTGAGGGGTGAGAGGCCACACTCACATGGTCAGACCTATAGACCCAGTGGCCTCCACCCTTCCCACCTCGGAAAAGGACAAAAAGCCCTCCTCCACTGAGGAACCAGGCTGTATTCTCTTGTCCTTGTAACAGGAGTAGGGGGCTTTAGAAATGGTTCTGAAATCTGAAGACTGAAAACCTCCAGCACGAGACACTGAGCCCTTCCTACACCAGCAAAGGCAGGTCAAGGGGTGGGTTGCATTCCTCTGATGATAGCAGTGGCACAACCCCTCTCCCATGGGGCAGTACCCCAGAGCTGCTGCCCATCAAATGCGCTCAGTTGATGTGCTGGTGCTTTCAAGTCAGACATAGGTTGAATAGAAATCTTATTGGACCTCTGAGATCGTTTTTGGAGGGAAAATACTAGTCATCCCCAAGGCAGGGACCTAGTCCACATTCCTTCTGGGGTGGTATATGGTGTGGACTTACTTGGAAAAGTCTTATTCTCTGGCTTACTGGGGGTGGGGGGAGTAGGTAGAGGCCAGGGCCTTGGACAGCATCCAATACCTCCACAGCCAAGGTCTCCTGGGCAGACCAAGGAGTCTCTGGGAAAAAACGTGTGTGATGCCAGGTGTGCCAAACACACAGGAATCAGCCCAGAAGCACGAGGGACTTCTAAGCCTTGTAGGGAGAGGGGTGTTTATCAGGGATTAAGGGCATGGCAGGGGTTGGACGGGGCCACCCCCACCCCCACCTCAGGTGGTCTGCAGTGCCCAACCTGCTTTCCATCTCCTGATGCCGGTGGCCACCGGTGAGCAGGCCCTCATTGAAGCTGCTGCTGGGCGAAGGCTGGGGGGAGTGCCGGATGAGAGTGGTGTCGCGCTGGGCGGCAGCTGTGGCGGCAGCATCCATGGCAAACTGCCTCATGGCACGCTCCTCCAAATACTTCTGCTCCCACTTGGTCATATCAGCCTCCAGTGCCAGGATCTGCTCCTCTTTCTCCCGCAGTTGTTCTGACAGCCGCAGGGCACTGAGCTCCGGGGACCCACTACTGCCACTGCCACCAGTGGGGGTGCCTGCCTGTCTCTGCGGAGAAGGGAGCACTGTGGTCAAGGGTGGAGGCTGGGGTGTGGCAGCCACTGGTCCTCACCCCACACCATGACTCTCACCTATGCACGGGTTCGCTCTGCCCTTCCTGACACACCCACCCTGGCACCCTGCTGCCACCAAAGATGAAGTAGGTGCTACAGTTCTCCACACCCCTGTGGCCAAGGGTATAGGAAAGATCAGGAGTGCTCTTGCATAGGGGACCATGGAAAGTATCCTCCAAACTGGGAAAGGGGTACTCTTGATAATTACACTGTGACAACTGATGTAAACTAGGACCCACCTGGGCAGTCTGGGACATTTGGTCACCCTACCTCTGTGGGAGGGGTAAGGTTGAGAGTGGAGACAGAACTCTATCTGGTTTGTAAACACCAGGTTTAGTAACACAGCCCAAAGTGAGCATAAAGACTCAGGATGCGGGTTACCATTGGCCTTCTTCATCTTGGGGAGACACGGAAGAGCTGGCTTGTCTTCTGCATCAAGGCTCCTAAGCTACTTTCTCTAGAGAACAAAGATGCCAACCCCAGACTCTGTGGAGCACGGAAGCCCAGGTCTTGAGTCCTTCAGGTCGCCAGCCAGCCAAGAGGCAAAGCCTCTGCTAAGGTGGCTGGGAGGAACTGGGGCAAGGCTGGAACCCAGATCACCCATTTTCCAAGGGGGGGCCTCCACCTGGACGTTGGCAGGGGCTCCTGAGACTTCAGAACTGGCCTCCCTCTGCTGCCACCGCAGGTCTCTGAGCTCACCTGCTGTGCACGCAGGGCCTTAAGTTCCTGCTCTAGGCGTGTCCGCAGACGTAGCTCCAGCAGCTCCCGCTTCTCACAGGCGGCCTGCAGCTGCCCGAGGGCCTGCTGCAGCCGCTCCACCTTCTCCACGTAGGCCTGCTTCTTGCGCAGCTCCTCCTCGGCTCGTGCAGCCCGGCCCTGTGCATTGCTCAGAGCCTGCTCCAGCAGCTCCGCCCGCCGCCGCTGGTCCTCGATGGCGCCGCGCAGCAGGGCCATCTCCCGCTCCAGCTTCTCCTGCTCCTGCTGCTGCTCATAGCCTGCAGGGAGATGCGGGGCTCAGTCCGTGATGGCAACCACCCTAGCTCGTCCCACTGGACACCTACCAGATGCTGGGCCTCTCCACAACCCTCGGAGTTAGGTGCTAGTATTTCCATTACCATTTTATGGAGGAGGAGCAGGTTAAGTCACAAATAAATAGCCGCACAAATAAATTCCACCTTTGCAGGAATAACTGGGCTATGCTGCCTCTTTGCTGGGACATGGGCAGCCCCAAACACTGTCCACTTGTGCCAGGTTTCACAATTTCCAAACCACCTTCACAGTTTCTCACAGTGATGCTAGAGACTGGCCAGATGGGAACTGTGATGCCCTTCCAGATGAGAAGGCTCAGGTGGACTATGACATAACCATCGTTCAAGCGATAGAATGAAGGAATGGGGAAGAGAAGTATCACTGGCTGCACCATGAGCCAGGCACTTATGCATCTTACTCTCGTGAAGCCTCTGATAATGGCCCCTCGAGGCAGGATGTGTGACCCCCCAACATACTGGGGAAGAAACAAAGGTGAATGGTGCTGTTCAAGTGGAGACCCAAGGCAGCCTGGTCCTTTAGAGACTGTGGTGGGGTGCCCCTCAGACCCACAGGCCTCCCAGAGTGAGCTCTGGGATGCATTCTGTGGACCCAGGGCTCCCCAGAATAGGGCTATGTTTCCTTCTCTGGTCTGGGGAACCACTGAGAGGTAGGCAACCAGGCTTATAAAGAAATGCAAACTTTGAGGCACAATAAAAATGACTATGATCCAAAGATTTTTGCCTGAAGTCCTAGCTAAGCTGACTTTTAAATCATCTTTGTTCCTTGCCCAGAAGAACTCGGCTCAGAGACCTACTCTGCCAAGCAAAGCCTCAGCCAGACTGCACACAGTCTTCCAGGTGGTGCTCTAGGCTTAAATCTACCTCCCATGCACTTGCCCGTTGGGAGTCCAGGCTAGTCCCCCAAAGAGTGGGTGGGCTGCCTGCCTTACTGCATGGGAGAAGGGGGCAGGCTCCAGGGCCTGCCTGATGAACTCAAAGGCACTGTCCCCAGAGCTGCACCATCACTGTACAGTGGAATTTTCTGTTGCAATAAAACTGTTCTATACTGTGCCAACCTGTACAATCACTACTGGGCACTCATGGCTATTGAGCACTTAAAATGTGACTAATATGGGGAAGGAACTGAAATTTTTGTTTTTATTTAATTTTAATTAACTCTAATCTTTGGGCCACATGTGGCTAAGTTCCTATCACATAGGATAATATAGGTTCTGGAATATTAGAGTGAAGCCTAGGGGCCTGGGTAGGCAGAGGGAGAATTGATTTACTCAGGGCCCTGGGGCAAGAGAAGGGCACAAGCAACTGAGGTCAGCTCTGACTTCCTCCGGAGTTTTGAAGACTGGGCCCAGACTGGCCTCACTCTTTGGTGTGGAGGGAAAAGATGAGGAAGCTCAACAATACTGAAGTTGAGGCATCCACAGTGGGTTGACTTGGCATCTACTGAGCGTGGTGCAGGGGCTGGCAGAGAGAGTAGACTGGGGACTTGGGACTAGAGACAATGACCCCCTCTTGCGTGTGCTCAGAGCGCACAGTTTACGGAGCTTGCAGGCAGCAGCCACTCATCCCAGTCTGACCATGGCCGCCCCATCTTATAACCCCAGAACCTGAGTCCAGCAAGGAGAAAATGTCCAACAGGGACAGAGCTTGGAAAGCGAGGAGGCCTCAGGACTCAAGGCCAGATCCCCAGGGAGAGACAGACCAGAGCAGCCGGAGCTGTCTGCATGAAAAGCAGGTGGCATTGGTGAAAATAATCACACTTTCCTCCTAGTTGTTGACTGACCCCAGAAAAAAAAGTGAAGTCAACTAGAGACCTTTTCCCTGGGAGTTTTGTGTTTTCTCCATAGGTATTAAGGAACAAGGAAAAGCTGCTTGGCTTTCCTCAGCCCTTGGGGAGAAGTGGAGGGACCTAGTCTGTTTCTCGAAGCTTCCTGCTGCCTTGCACAACCTGGAAGGCCCAGACAGGGGCTGGGAGGCCTCAGCCTTGGCCATGCTCAGCCACCAGGATTAAACTGTTGGGGAAGAGAGAGGAGCCAGGAGAACGGGAGGGTGCCAAGTGCACACAGGAAGGCAGAGCAAGCTGCACAGGGGGAAGGGGGATACACCTCCCCCCCAACCCCCCACCGCAGAAAGCGACAGGCTTGGGGGCCCCATGAGTTCGGCCCTTCTCCCTTTCCCTTTGTCCCAGTCTGTCCAGCCGCACCGGGAGGGAGCAGCGGGGGGCGGGTCCAGAGCGGAACAGCCCAGAGGCTCTGGAATGCCAAGCATCCAGGTCACCCGCGGCTTCGAGATTAATGGCTCCAGCGAGGAGCCAAGAACAGCCTGGCGCTTGCTCCCCGGGGAGCGGAAACGCCTCCAGGCCGGCCTCCCCCCTCGCCCCTCCTCTACTGGCTCCCAGAAACCAGCCTTGCTACTTCCTTTATGAGGCGCCACGCCCCCAAGGCCTGCCCTCCTACAGGAGGCCCCCTACTACCAGCGACCCCTCTGCCCAGGCTCCTAAGGGCTATTACACCAAAGGTTGCCCCCTTTTCGCCCTCCCCCAGCATCAACACCTCCATTGCCACCTCAATCTGCTCAGTACAGCCTAGCCTACCTCCTGCCCAACCCCCCAGCCGCAATCCCGTCAGTGTCTGTCTTGTTCCCCCATTCACTGTCCAGGGCAGCCCCAGGAGGGCTCTGAGCTTTCCTTGAGAAGGGAGGTGCTGCCAGCCAGAGCTCAGTCTTCAAGTCCCCACTTCTGGACACCCCCTACTATCCCAGCCATTCACACACAGTAGGCTTATCAAAGCCATCCTTGCCAGGACACCAACCACCCCCATTCCATTTCTCTGCAAATGCCCAAACACCACAATAGCACAATAGGAACTTCTGATTGCTGGAGCTTCTTTCTGGGGCTACCCTCAGGGCTTCCTTTGTCTCTCCCACTCCACGCACCTTCACTTGAGCCATCCTCCTGCCATTCCCACAGAGCCTCTCTCTCAGGCCAGTGGAGACTTCTTAATCACTAATCTCCAGGGCCAGGGACACCCTTGTTCCTTGAATCTGTGATTAGAAGACCCTGCTCCTTTCTCAAGCTTAACCTCTCTGCCTTGACTTTCCTGCCAATGAGCCTTCAAGGCCTGCTCCCACCCTCTGCCAGATACATGATAGGTGCTTAGTATGGTTCTCCTAACCAACAAATAAATGATTGCATAGGGCTAGTCTATGGTGAACTCATCCACTTTCTTCAAGAAGCCTTCCAACACCCGTTAGAGTAGCTTCCCAAACCTCTTCTTTAGACTGCATCTCTTGGTTAAGGTTCCAGGAACCCATTTTTGGTCATCTGCAGGTACCTCCACTTGGCTACCTTGCTGTGGCCCAGTTGGCACCATGTACCCCAGCTTCTCACATTCCAACCAGGCACCCCCAACCTTTCTTCCTGGAACTCCCTGGGGAACTCACATTCCTTCTCTCTCCTCTCACTTGCCTCCAGGGCTGTCTGTACTCCCCCCCCCCCCCCCCCCCCCCCCCCCCCCCCCCCCCCCCCCCCCCCCCCCCCCCCCCCCCCCGCTCACCACACCTTCAATTCTGAAGGATACTGTACTGACACAGCACCACAGCTCAGCAAATCACTGCACCCCAGCTGTCCCTCTTGGATCCACTGATCTCTCCAATAAATATGGAACCAGATCTTATTCTTTGGAAGCCACCCCTCCCAGCCAGTCCTGGGTGCACAGTAGGCATTCAGTAATCCTGTGCTCAAAGCACTGCTTTGATAAGCGGGAGAGCCAATCCTCCCTGTCCACAGTCACTGCCATGGTCTCACCACCCACACATCTGTCCAGGCACCTGCGTGTGACCCCTACTCACTCTGAGCAAGCAGCTTGGCCACCATGTCCTGACTGCCTGCCTGGGCCTCCTGTGTCTTGGTTGCCAGGCGGCGGTTTGCGGATTCCAATCTCTCTGTTTCAAATGAAGGAAAACATGTTTTCAGGAAAGATGTTTGAGTATCAGGTGAAGCTGCCTGCCCGGGTGTCCCTTAGGGTCCTGTCTGCGGGGCTGCACCCTCCAAACTGGCGATGGGCTGATAGGGAACCCCCAGATGTGCCGAGGGCTTAATGAGGAGGGAGCACTCTGGGCCATACAGGTGAGGGCTCCACCGAGGCTCCAAGGCATAGCACAGAAACAAGCATCCTTCTGTCAAAGTGGCCACTTCTGAGCCAATTTACACTAATTTTTGCAGAGGGCAGAAATTCTGAATTTCTCCCTGGAAGAGAGGGATCAGACCCTCCACAGACACTCTCCACCCCCTCTAACTGGGTGACCTCCCTCACCTCGGAGATCCCTGTTGAAGTCCTGTAGCCTCCTCATTTCACTGTCCATTTTGTTCCGCATGGTCTTCTCCAGGGCCTCCCGCTTGTTAGAGGCTCTCGTCAGGCTCTCATGGGCCTCAGAGAGCCGCTGGATTTCACTTTCCAGCTGCAAGAAAGAGGCAGAAAGAGCTGAAGGAGGAGAGAGATCCCTGCAGGTGAGTAGCAGTCAAGGTCCCCTCCACAGGCCCAGGCTGTTACCCTCCATCTGGAAAGATGAGAGAGAAGAGAATTAAAAGCAACAGCAAAAAATCCAGGTGGCTATGATGGGATGGTCAGAAGCTTGTGGCCTCCAGATATGAATCAGAATACTAGAACCAGCAAGCAAGGTCCCACCCATTGTGCTAAGGTCCAGATGCTGAGTGACCGAGGGCTTAACCCAGCTTTCCTGCACCCAATGTCCAGAAAAATGCATTTTACTTCTGTCCAGTTTCTACTGAGAATCTGAGCACAGGGGCCAGGAGGGGGCACAAAAAGACTCCAGCCATGTTCCAGGGTTTGAGCTATCTTGGACACCACCGGACAGTCACAGGAGGCCTGAGTCCACCTGTCAAAGCTGAACGCACGGCTGGTAAACCTTCACTAAAGAACTGGGCGCCAGACCCCAGCCTGAGCTGCCTCTGCCTGGAGTAGTTCCTCCTCCAGCCATCACCATCCACTGCAGAGGGCCAGCCTACCCCCGCTGCCCCTCCCACTTGGCTGCTGGCAGGTTCCGCACGTGCTCTGAGCTGGCCTGTGATTCCAATAAGTAGCTCGTTTTTTCCAAAAGGAGGGGCTTTCTCTTCGGCCAGGGCTGGCCTAGAACAGACTTACTGTTGTGTGGGGGACACAAAGGGCTCTCTGTGGGAGGTGTCCGCAGGAGGGGGTGTGTGCAGGGGAAGGGTGTGCAGGGAGCTGGTGAATGGGCTCTTTCTAATCACCACTGGCCAGCAACTGCTCACACTCTGGGCCTGCTCTGCCAGCCTTGCGGCTGCTCCCCAGCTGTCTAGAGTCAGCGAGGGAGGGGATATGAAGCACGAGGGAGTGGGGGCCAGCTCCCCATTGCCCCTCTGAGGCCCCAGCAGGGCCTACCTTCTCAATGCGGCCCGCCTTCTCTGCTGAGCTCTCCAGCTCCCTCTGCAGCCTCTCGTTGTCCCTCTGCAGCCTGGCATTCTCCCTCAGCACGGCCTCCATCTGGGCCAGGTGGGCGCTGCCCGAGGGGGCTGAGGAGGCCTGGCTGCCTGCCGGCCCCTCCACCTCCGGTGGACCGAGGGAGCCTAGGGCGCCATGGCTGAGGGCCGCTGGGTGTGGTGGCAGGGGGTGCTCCTGGGCCTGCTGCAGGTACTGGTACTGCTGTTGCTGCTGGAGGAACACAGGGGGCACCTGCGCCTGCAGGATCCTGGGGAACAACAGACTGTGTTCAGAGACTATATAGACCACCATGACTCCCACCCCTGAGCAACCCTGAGATTCCCTCCTGGCATAATGGGGAATCTCCCCACAACATTAGGTAGTGACCAGTGTGGAAGGCCTTTTCAGCAGAGTGTCTACCTAAGACCCTCGAGGACCAAGGGAATGGGGCCTGAGGGGGTTAACATCAGGAAGCATATTTCATGCCCAGCCTCACTGTGGCCGAGGCCCTGGGGGTCAGCCTGAGTAGTCCTGGTCCTTGTAACTAGTACTTAAATAAGGCATCTTAAACAAGGCACACTTGACCGTTCTAATCCACAGAAGATTCTTTCTGGGTTTGGAGGCCGTGTCAGTCATAACTTGAGCACACAGTCTTCCAGGCCTCTGGCCACTTGGGTGGCTGGGCCCCAGCAGCTACCCCTGTGTCTGTTATAAGCCTCTTACACTAGCACCTGCCAGTGTAGCACACCCACGTTTTCTCCCTCCTATTACAGGTCCCATCACCCGTCACAGAAACATTTTTAGAATACTGTGGCTAAGGGCAGAGTAGTGAGATAGATGTCTTTGGTCCAAAGTCTGACCAAATAGGCACCCCAAATCCCCAGGGTGCCAGCATGCCTCTGCTAAATCATGAGGGCGAAGATCTCCAGCCTCAAGGGGCTCGCCAGGGCAACACAAAGCCTGGCCAGTGCTGGGCCTGCAGCATATGAAGCCACAATGGCGGCCCATCATCTACCTCTCCTACTGGTAACTACAGCCTCTTGTCTTTTTAAAGAGTAAATGTAACCCATGCACTAGATATTCTTGGGCGTTGGGGCCACCTCTGGACTTCTGCAATAGCCTGAGTTTAAGGACAATGTTCTACTGGATCCTAGCAATGGTGGGGTCAGAACCCCGTTAAGGGAAGGAGCAAAGAGCAAGAGGCATGGGGGTAGAGGCTGGTGTCAGAGCCTTGCTGGGGCCTTGAGACTCCAGGTATAAAAGAATAGACTTCCTCAGTGACACCAGGAATTTTCCAGGCCCCAGAAGCTCCATGAGAGTTGAATTCCACTTCTGGGTTCATCACATCAGCACTCATGTCCTCCCTCCCCTGCTCCTCTTAGGACCCTAGGCTAAAAGAAAAGTCCCTGCCCCTAGTTCCTAAGGAATAATCCTTCCCTGATCAGCTGAAAGGAAACGATGGGCAGATCTATTTCTTTTATTGACTAAGGTAGAGCCTCTAGTGAGAGCTGAGCTGAGGGTCTCCAATGGAATGTCCAAACTCTCCCTGCACTGCTAAATGCGGCATTCTCAGGGTTGCTTCATGAACTTTCTCCCCCCTGCACTGGGCCAGGCAGACACAACTGGCATTCTTTGAGGATGACTTAGCTCTGAGGAAGAATGGAGTCTCCCTTCCCTTCACACTTACTCTCTGCCCCCCCACTCCGGTTTCCCCCTCCCCCTCCCTCCCTTTTTTGTTCTCCTGCAGTCTACTTCCTTTCCACGATATTATCTTTTCCTGACAGGGCTCAATAAGGCTGCTCCAAAAGAAGAAACCCACGACTCAGCTTCCGAAACTCTCCCTGACCAAGCCCTGAGAAAGGAGATAAGGTGGGGATGCGAGAGGTGGAGGTTGGAGAAAACCCATAGGATTCTGTCTGCTACTTCCCCCATACCAACACTATGGCGTCACTCATTTCTCGAGAGCAAGGAAAGGCATCTATCCCAGGAAAAGACCAAGTGGTGGGAAAGTGAGTGACTAAATGAAGACTCAGCAAGAATGAAGAGAACCAGACTTCGACCTTGAGCCTCCAGATGAAAGGAGTCTGCAAATCAAGGGGTTTCCTGGACCACCATGGGCAGGGGAGATGCAGTGTGTGTGACATGAAGGAGTTGTGTCAGCTTCTCAGAAGGTGCAGGGCCAAGTGAGAAGACTGGGGCAGAACCTCATTTCTAGGAACCAGTATTTCTGCAAGCTGGGCTTTCTGCCTCCTCCTGGTCTCCTGCTTCCATTCTTCCCCCTTAGAACCCATTCTCTACATGCAGCCCGAGGGACCTTCTTAAAGAAGTAAGCCAAATCACATCCTCTAAAGGCTTCATGATCAAGCTCTATATCTGCCAGCAGCCTTTTCCAAGGCTCCACAGGAAAGGGGCTTGCCTGGACCCCGTGTCCTCTCCCGCTACAGGCTCCAGCCACCTGAAGCACATGGGAAAACATGAAAGGAAATGAATGGTAGCTGCCCTGGTGTAGGACAGGGAGAGGTCTTTAAGGAGGCCATCTGGTCTTCCTGCCTCCAGCTAGGAATGCCCTCCATTAATCACAGAAAGCAAACGGTCCACTTGGTCTGAAAAGTCTGCAGAGGAGGAGGAGGTCCCACCTTGCCACTTAGCTTGGAAACAGTTTGGCAATGACTCCCAGCCCTTGTCTTTAGCACGTTCTTTTGAAAACCTAACCTTTAACCCCCTGCTGTAACTTGTACCCTCTGGGAACCTTAGTTACTGGACTGCTACAGCTAATTACACAATGGTATTCATCTCCGAATTAACACAAAAGATGCCACTGAGTTCTCATGTGACCTTGGCTAGGTCCTACTTTCCTCCAGGCATTAGCCCCTCCTTCTTGGAAAGGAGGCAGGTATGAACAGCTTTCCTATGGGGCTGGCCTGCCCTCACAAAAGGTGTCGTCTGGAGGCTCTCCACCTTGGGGAGAACTATACTGGAAGAAAGTTGAGAGCTTGAAAGAGCAGGGTGGGCATTTACCTGACTTCAGCATGCTGGAAGTGTGGGCTCCCGCGGGTGCGGTACCGTGGGTCGGTGACAGCAGTGGCAGTCTCATGAGCTAGCACAACGTGTGGGTACTGAGGCGGAGGTCCGCGGGGCTCTGGGCCCTCGGCAGGGGGGCCCCTGAGTGGGGGGCCTAGCTGATTGCGGGCCAGCTGCGGGAAGCTGTGGGAGGAGCTCATGTGGCTGGGAGCCCGGGCACCGTTCCTCTCCAGGGACAGCTGCAGGAGCCGTTCACTCAGGGAGCGTACATGCCCATGCCTCAGCTCCCGCAGCGCCTCATCCTGACTCCGATTGCCGCCTGAGGCCCCTCGGGGATCCCGTTCCCCCGCATGTGGCCGGGGCCCTGCCTGATGGGCTGCATAGTACTGTGAATGGGCTTTAGCTTCTTCATAGGTGGGCAGCTCCTCACCCTTGCTGGGCTGTGGGCACAGCCGGTAGAGGGTGTTCTCTGCCAGGTGGGTCTCACCGCCCTGGTGCTCCTGGCCCTGGGGCTCCTGCCTTGTGGCCTGCTGTAGCACCTGAGTGTCCTCGGGTGCCAAGATTTCCACGGAGGCTTGGGGGCTCCCTGTGCTCCCAGCCCCAGCCCCACCCCGCAGGGCTTGCTGCTGGATGGCCAGCAGTGTGCGTGTCTCAGTCAGGTTGCCATAGCGCAGCTGCTCCTGGATGAGGCGGTGCAGGACTGTCCCCGAGGAGTCTTCCAGGGTCCTCATCCTTCCTTGGCTTGCACACCCCTGCCTGAACAGTGGCCAGTGGCACCTGGCCCTAGGGCACCTGGGAGAAGAGAAAGAAGAGCAATCAGTGGGGGGGGGGGGGGACGGGGGACTTTCCATTACACTCTGGTTCAAAGCATAATGGTAAAGAGCAAGACTATAGAGGGTCACGCAAGCCTGGGTTCAACGCCAATGCTGCTGCCTACTGATTAAGGTAAGTTACCTAACCTCTGAGCCTTCGTTTCTCCATCAGAAAAATTAATGAACAATGCTTGCTCATGGAGTTGGAAATCACATGAGGCAATGGCTGTTGAGCTCCTGGGGCACTTTAAGTCCTTAGCAAAGGACTGCCATACCATCACAATCACAGAGACTTAGTACAGAGGCATCTCTGCGGCTTTACTATGTCTAAAGAAAAAGACAGTAACCTAGTAGGTAATCAATCACCCAGGAACCCCAGCCTCCTACAGTCGGCTTCCCATTGAAAAGGCTGAAAAGAGTCTCCAGAGCAGAGGTAGTTCAGCCATAACCACTGAGCAGGCCAGTCTAGGGGTGGACAGGGGCCCAGTTTATTGGCAGGTGCTAAAGAATGAGTCCAGCCTAGTATTACCCTTGGGCATACTGCCCCTAGCTCCCTCTAGAATGCTGCATGCCTGAGCCCTAGCCTTAGCACAGTTAACTTGCCACCCTTTACCATGCTGAGCCCTCCCCGTCATGGGATGACCTTGGCAGTCACTCTGCAAGGTGAACAGGAAGAAGGAAAAAAATGCATCTGGTTTGGTGAATAAGGGAAGAAAGAAGAGAGCTACAATACGACCATGGTTTTGTAAACAGAGGCAAAAAGGTGCCACCCATCCAGTTTTGTGGGTCAGCCACATAGTCTGTGTGCTGACAGCAACTGCATGGGTGCTCCAGGAAAAAGAAAGGGTAGCACCATGTCTTTGATTTTATGACCCTTCCCCCCCCCCCCCAAACACACACACTTGCTACAAGAGCAAGGGAGAGGCTCTTGGCTGCAGAGACCTGGGGCTGGGGGCTGGAAGCCTAAAGGTGCAGGGAGATCATATCCCCTGAGGAAGGTATTGTCTTCTGAGCTTGGGCTCTCAGTGGCTCATGTCCTGGAAGACTGCCCACCTTACCTGGCTTCCTTCCCACAGCCTCCTCCAACACAAACCTCCAAACTAGATTCAGGGAAAACCAAACAAAACCTACATCTCCTTAGGTCCTTCTGTATGGGAGGAGGGGAGCAGGAAGAATGTGGCCCCTCCTCTGCCACAGAACTAGCCGCAGTACCCTGCTGCTGTTTGGACTTGGTAGGTTGGCAGAGCAGCCATTCCCATCCACTCATTCCTCTTGGCTGCCCAGAAATGAGAAGGAGTAGAGTCTGGAAAGCATCTCTGTACCCATCCTTCTAGGCACCCATCATCCCTTCTCCCTACACCCAGGAGGCTGGAGATGCAAGACTCCAGAGTTACCAGGGGCAAAACAAACTGGAATCAATTCGCCCTAGAGTTTCATCTGCGGGGCATTTCCTAAAGTAATCAGTCCGGGCTGAGCCCTGCTGAAAACACCCGGGGAATGCAGAGCTTTCTGGACAGATTCCTGGCCTCCTCCCCACAGCAGTGTGCCTGGGAGCAGGGAACACCTCCGGGGCCTCTTATCCGAATTTGTCCCTGTCAGCCCCCTCAGATGCATATTCTTTCGGCTGAGCCGTTACTAAAATCTGCGACCACGACCCAAGCCACGCCCTTTTACTGCACCAGTGCGCCTTGTTCTCTGAACCCCCACCCCCTTCCTAAGTTAAGCCCCCAACTCTGGCTCTTGCCGGGGCTCACGCTCGCCTAAGGAACCCAAACGACTGTCCCTAAATCAGACTGCACCCCAGCCAGGGATCCCGCCCTACCCGGCTCCAAGCCGACCACGAACACCTGGAGGCCGCCGGTGCGTCCAGAGCGAGCAGGGGAAGGTAGCCGGTGGCGCACGGAGTTCTTTAAGCGTCGCGGGCCCGCCTCCCTCCCAGCCTCCCGAGCCCTCTTTGTTTTCCAAATGCTCCAACGCTGACGTCACCGGGCTGGACGGCCGGCTGCATTCTTTCTAAGTGAGAGCCAGTCAGTGGCTCCAGAGAGGATTTTCCAAGGAAGACAAAGAGGAATTCTTGGACTAGTTGGGGGCAAAGACACCTGTAATCCCCAGCTAACCATATCAGCCCCAGAGCCCTACAACTTGAACCCGAAGAGGCGTCTCCTGCCCAGTTTTGCGCCGCTCTCTCCAACCCACGACCCAAAACACTGGACACCGCTCTCCCCAGAGGCTGCTCCCTCCCCCAGCCCCAGGGGACCGGCGCGCCTGCTAGAGCCCCCGACCCAGGCGCACTGCGGGTGGCCCTCAGAGAGGAATTGCCCCTGGCCGCCTTCGCGGCTTCCTGGAAAGGGAGCACTGCATCCCGAGGACGCTTACAGCGCCGGGCTCCCGCTCCCAGAAAAGAGCGGGCTGAGCCGGGGCTCTGGCTTCGGCTGGACGCAGCTCTCCCGACCCGACCGCTCCCCGAAGCGCCGAGCGGCCTTCCTTACCGCTGCGGCCCCCGGGTGCTTGGCGCAGTCAGACCCGACGACCCGGCCCGGCTCGGTTCGCCTCAGCTCAGCTCGGCGGCGGAGGTGTGCACTAGGCGGTGGCGCCGACGCTCTGGCCGCTCGGGCCCCAGCGCGCAGCCCCAGGGTCGGCCCGCGCCGGAGGCGGCTGCTATGCCTGGAATGTGAGAGTTTCAGGTTCCCCCTCGGGATCAAAGCGAACCACAAATAACCTCAGTGCGCCGCCCTCCTCCGCCCTCCGCCTCCTCCGGCTCCCTCCTCCCGGCCCCCGCCTTCCTCCCAGGAGGCGGCGCTGCGGGCCCGGCGCCTGGCCCCAGAGCTCCGCTCCCGGCGGCCCAGGGCCCTCCAGGACGCTCTGCACCTCTCCCGCCTCCCCACGCCACCGCCACCGCCACCGCCACTCTTTGCCTTCGGGGCTGCCGGGGAAGAATTAATCCCCTCGGCCATTACCTCCCCCCCAAGTGCGTCGGGCCTTCCACTCACTCCTTCCCTGTCGGCGGGACGACGCCGGGAGATGGGCAATCGCGTGTCGCTGAGGGGTTCTGGGTGCTGCGGCGGGAGACGGCTGCGGTTGGCGCGCGCGCGCGCGCGCGCGTGCGAGCGTGTGTGTGTGTGTGTGTGTGTGCGTGTGTGTGTGCGTGTGTGTGTGTGTGTGTGTGTGTACAAGGGAAGGAAGACCGCAAAGATGTCCTTACCGGCTTGGCTTGGCTGGAATGCTACCACCACCCCTCCCCCGGTGTAGAGAAGACTGCTTCCCCTTGAGCCTCTTCCTTGACCCCCCACTGCTTTCGCCGCCAGCGGCAACCTTTGAATTGCCCTGTTATTGTTTACAAACACCTTCGCCAGCCCTTTTAGGGCCTGTCTCCGCAGGAAGTGTGAATCTGGGTTGAAAATCTTCTGGTTAATTGGATCCACCTAACCAACTGAATCACCCGCCGCCAGGCGCTCTGTCCAACTCTTCCGGAAAAAGGTAGTAATTGGCACCCCTAAATTTACGCAGAGAGCGCGGTATGCCACCACCCGCTTTTCGCCTGGTCATCCTACTAAGCCCTCCCAGTCATCCTCCCGGGGAGTTCTGTTATCATCCCTGAGTTATAAATGAGGAAACCAAGGCTCAGGGAGGTTAATTAGCTTGCCCCAGGGTCACACAGAGCGCGAGTGATGAAGCCAGGCGGCCACTGGGCTGCTCGGGTTTTTTTTTTCCCAGAACCTTCCAGTTGCCACCAGAACCCAGGCTCCCTAGAGGTCTGAGACGGACTCTGGGAGCCCTCCTCTCTCCATCTGCTCTGTCTGTTCCAGTCTCCTCTTCATTTCCCCGTAGACCCCTGCCAGTCAGGGGCCCTCTGTGGTGTCCAGAGGGCACCTGCTTCTGCTATTCTTTATCTGGATGAAGTTCTTTCCTCGGCCCCTAGGATACTCACTCCCCCACTCCCCCCCCTCCCCCCCGCTAGGCTGGTCCATCGATGCTGGCCTACACCTTTTCTTCAGACACACCCTCCCCACCTGTCCTCACCCTCTCCCCAGCTGCCTTTCTTCTCTACTCCCACAGTTCTGTGTGCCATTCCTGAGCCCTGACCACACTGGGCCTCCCAACATCTGCGTGTTGGGGGCTCAGGCCCCTATCCCCTGGGAGAGTGAAGACTGAGTCCTACCCCTCGTAGGGTCCTCTCCACCCCTCACCATGGAGTTTACAAGCCCCAAATCTGCTGGAGAGACCCGAGACAAGAAAACATTGTTAAGTTCAAAGAGCTATTTACTAGCCAGGGACATTGTTAATTTTTAATTAAGTCCTCCCCAAAGATATGTGTATGTGTGTGTGATTTAGTTGGAAGCCAAATATTGCATTACAAATAATGATTGGCTCTGAGACAAATGAGAAAATAAGTCCTTTGTGCCAAGCTAAGGGATATTTGGCCATCCAAGGACCATTTCACAGAGAAGCTAAGGCCAGTATGTCACTGTCCCAACTAGATATACTTGGTAAAAAGGAAGAGAGAAGAAGGGGTCCCTAGGTGGCCTTACCCTGTGGACGGAATTCTTCTTGGAGACTCTTGGTGGAGGCAGGAGAGTAGGCGCGTGGGTATGTGCACTCTGGGGTTGCAAAATCAGGGGAAAGGTCATATGGTAGAGTCCTCTCTTTTCAGGGACGTTTGAGGGGCCACCTGACAAAATGCTTGACCAACATTCTCGAGATGGTTACAGAAAGGGCCCGCTCAAGGCAGCTAGAGCCAAGAAGTACATCCTGGAGTAGATTAACCTGCTATAGACCTAAATGGGCCCCTGTGACTACTCACCTCTGTGACCCAGAGCAACAGGAGCGGGGAGGGATCCCTAAACCTAGAGGGGGCCGAAATTTACACACATTTCTTCTTTCTTTTCCTCTTCCTCTTCTCCTTCTCCTCTCTCCTCCTCTCTGTAAGAAGGTTGGAGGGCAAGGCCTCCCAGGCAGGGCTAAGCCAGGGGCCTCAGGGAAGCCTGCCTGAGCTGGTTTGCTCACTGGCAGTGCAGGTGGTTGGGTGAAAGATGTACCAGGGGCTGGTGTGCACAGGTGGGCACTAGGTTGGCCAAGCTGCTGGCACATACATCTTCTCATACGGGAGAGGAGGAGAGGCTCGTCTAGTGAGCAAGCCCGTGCTTTCTTCCTCCCAGCTTGGTCCCTCTCCACCCATCTCATCCCCTTCTCTCTTACCCCCTCCCCCTGCAGGTAATGATTCTTCCCAGGTGACAGCATGGCTGGCTGGGCCTGGAATCCTGCCCAGGAAAGATGCAGAGATGACCCAGTTCTCAGAGTAAACCAGTTTTGATGCTTTTGCTCTGCAGAGTTCAGCTTCTAGGGGTGTGGCTGCATCATAGGTGTGGACAGGGCTTCGCAAGGGATCCTCCTTAGCCTAGACCTGGACTTGGGGCTGGCTCCATGCCCATGATAGGACCTCAATCTGGCATTGCGTCTTGCTGTACCAAATGGGAATATGGAGGGAAGAGAATGGTCACTTCATTTCCCAAATGGTTGATTGGTAGAGGAGGGGCTCCAGGGCCCAGGTGGCAACATCAAAGGAAGACTCTGCTAGTTGTGAAATTCTCCCTTCCAGACTCCCCTGGATACTTCCTTTGATAGCTTAGGGGAAACAGGACACCCACCAGAATCTGGAGCAGATAGTAAATCCACAGGAAGAACCTGGACTTTGGAATGGAAGTTCCAATGCTCCAGTTCCAAGAGCTGAGCGAAGGGCCTTCTCCTTGTTCTGCATTCCCCCTTTTCCGTGCCCTTCCCCATCCAGGTTTTCCCCCAAATCCTCTCCTACCACTCGCTTCCCTTCTGCTCCAGGTCCAGAATCTCCATCAGGCATGGGGTTGCCTCATACAGTCTGTGTCTTTGGGTGGTTAGTTCCTCCAGAGTCAGAGCGTCTTTGAAATTAAGTCCCACAGTGGTGGAAGTAAGAGAGTGTTGTCCTAAGAAATGAGGGAGCCCTGGCTTTCCAGACTGCACATACCACTTGGGCCCCTAGCCTTCCTCTGTGCCACTTGACTTCTGAGGTTCATGCAGGCCTAAGGCTGGGATGATTTGTGCAGGTCATAAGGTCCCACTCTGGGGAGGGAGCTATAAACACCTCTCCCATTTCTTCCCTCTGCATTGGGGGCTTTAATCACCCAGAACCTCCATAGTACCCAGTCCTTCAAGGAAAATGTGTCTAATGGATATTGGTGAGTAAACAGATAAATTACAGGAATGTACCCTTCAGTTTATTCTTACCTGGGCAGCTGCCAGGCTGGGGCTGGATCTAAGAAGTGACACATTCAAGGCAGTAAAGAAAGGAAGGTCAGTCTGAAATATCAATGTGCCCCCAAATCCTCGCCTTTTCTGCAAAGCTACCTTGTACTGAGTGGGTACTGATTTGGTGGACGTGCCACTGCTACTTGGAAGGACCCTCTCTGTTATTGGCAAGAGGCTGCAGAGCATGTGAAGAGGCCCCTGGGTCTGCAGGGTCCTTGTAGAAGACCCCAGGATAGGCTTCTGTGCCACTGGGGCAGGGCCAATATGATGAAAGAGTGCCCCCTAGTGATCTTCATCCCCAGCTGCTTGAGTTAGCTACTCCCAGGGCTCTGCAGAGGAGTCTTGGATCCCTGAGGAGGGTCAAGGTGGGGATGTTTAGGACAGGGTTTCATACGCGGGGCAGATGTTTCTTGGGTCTCAAATGGATTCATGGCTCCAGTTGTGTTTCTGAGCTTTCCTCCTATTTCAGCCTCTCCTGGGCTTTCATGTGATCTTTAAAGAGATACCATCTTTAACACAAACAACCTTAAATTATGGACAATGGGAAAATACTTTGCATTTACTCACCTCTTCACAATCGATGCATTTTTTTGTATCTCATTTCTTCATTCAACAAATATTTCCTGAGCACCTGCTCTGAGCCAGTCCCTTGAATGGAGGTGTCCAACCTTGCAAACTCACCAGGTCACTGAGTATAGAGTGAGAAAGAGGGTAGTACACTAGAGAGTGGAGAGTTCCATCTTTATAGAAGGAAGTACACACAGGGAGGATGTCATGGCAGGCATCTTGGAGGAGGTGCCTCTCAAGCTGAAGACCAAGGTAGATTGTGAGGTGTCTTCTCCAGGCTGGCATATGGGGAACCTGTGCTAGAAGCACAGATTCTCTGGTCCACTAAAACAGAACCGGGAAATGCTGAGCCACTGACCTCCAGCCAACCATATGACCTTCTCCAGTAATAATCCTGAGAGGGAGGGATACAAAGGGACACTTCCTGGTATAAAACATCAAATTATGTACTATATATTTTTTTAAGTTTATTCATTTATTTTGAGAGAGAGAGACGTGAGAGGGGCAGCAAGAGAGAATCTCAAGCAGACGGCGCTCTGTCGGTGCAGAGCCTGATGCAGGCTCAAACTCACAAACCATGAGATCATGACCTGAGTGGGAACCAAGTCAGACACTTAACCGTCTGAGCCACTCAGGGGTCCCCAAATTGTGTACTTTAAATAAAAATAGTCTGTTATTGCAACTATACCTCAGGAAAAAATTTAAAAGTCAGATAGTACTATAATGTAAAAATCAGTGCCCTGTTCCACTTTTTCCTCATGAAGTTCCATTCCCAAGTGACAAACACTTTGAAGTCTTA